TGCAGAAATCAAAGCCAGCCTTGCCTGAGAACTTCTTCCCAAGACAAAACTATTTGCTCACTCAGAGACCAGCACATAGATGGCTGTGTAAGAGCACCATCTGGTGACATATTCCATATAAGAGATTTTGAAGAATGAACGGTTAATTTACAAATTCCTAGCAGAATGATGCCTAACTTACAGTTCATGATCTCTGCTTTCATGCAGGGTGTGTGCCTGATTACAGAAGGCTGATTATTCACAGACTGCTCTATGCTTCCTAACACAGTTGCTGCAGTTCTCTGAATTACATGCACTTTCCCTGTTGTGTTGAGCCGATTAAACCTCAGATCGGCAGATAATCTGTCTTCATTTAGAAAGCAGAATTCATCACTGAGCATGGTCCCTACAGCATGCTGTCAGATGGACTTGTTGCTGCCACATCTCCTTCCTTTGAAAACATGCTAGGGCCAATAGAGCAGATAAATGACTTACATTTGGGATTGCCTGGAGACACAGATGTCCTCCGAGAGGAAAACAGACTTCAGTTTGGCATTTTGCATCTTGTCCTGCAGTCAACTGCAAAACCACTGTTCAGATCCATGGCACAGACCCTGTAGCTGCACCCCATAACAGCGGCAGAACTGCACTGAACACATCTCCAAACACAATTTCAAATGAATGGGGTTTTCAGCCACTTTCAGACCTAACTCTTTCCTGATAGGAAAGTGATCTGAAACAGATACACACTGCCATGCAGATCCCAGTGTCAAATTCACAGCTTCAGCACACCCTAATGGCATATCCCAGCTCCATGTTCCCTGCAGTGATGGAAATCTTCAAAAGACATGATTTCCAAACATTTTTAGTTGCCAGAGCCGTGACAGACAGGATCACTTGTCACCCACCAGCTACATAACATTTGCTGAGTAACTCTTCTACCATGAAAGGCTTTTGTGTTCATCTCTGATATGACATATGAGATAAAAAAAATAAAGATACTCTCAACAAGCCAGTTGCTCTACAGGCTTAGTTAAGGAAATGACTGCATCCAAACAAGCCTCAGTGTTCTCTTTAGCTGGCTGGCCTCTGGCAGTGCAGGTGGATCTGGTTCCCCCTGGGGGAGTGCAGGGGCTGAGCTGCATATGACAGCAACAAGCTCTTCCTGTGAGCAATGCTATGGATTTCATTGAAGCCACACATGAGGCAAAAAGGGCTGTCAGTAGATGAAGAACATCACCACTAAGATGAAGCAACAGATACACCACTGCACACCATAATGTACCCTTGCTTGTTCCTTGGTGAGGCATCTTCACTTCCCCTTAGCTGATGGGACCCAGCACCGTGTTTCACAAGTCTTGTGTCATCTGCTAATTAAAGTTATATGCTAAACATGCTCATCTTTCTGATGTGTTAATGAAAGGAGCAGGAATTTATATCCCCAGTTTTAATCCCTGCTAATTTAGCAAACATTATCCTAGTTCCTAAGCATTAAATCACGTGAAGAACACCAAGCGCTTAGCTGCAATGATAGCCCATGGAATGCATCAGAAGGTAATTTCTCAAAGAGCAATTCTACTCAGTGTTAAGTGCTTAGTTCTGCATGCTTTGCTCCACTAACACAGAGCAAAGGACACAAGAACGGTATGAAATGCAGTTCAGCCCCTGTATGCATATGCAGGCACTGAAGTGATCTAAATAGCTCACACAGTGAAGTGGATTAACAATAAGGGGAAAGAAGGCCAGTGCTCTGAGGACACAGGCTTATAATCTCAACCCTCAGAGAAAGATGGCAATAATTCCAAAACCACATACTTGTCTACAGAGATCTAGATGTGAATTCTACAATGGCAGCAAATAGTAAAACAGTCTAGGGGCATAGTTTCTAACTCTTGGTAGAATTTCAGGGTGGAAAGAGGAGTTTAAGATATGCCCCCCTGGGCAGGGGGAGGAATAAAAAACTGGCAACTGAATTGCAGTACTTCGTGATGTGGTGAACAGCTCAGTGTCATTGGAGCAAGCCAGGAGAAGTTTAGCTAGGACACAAAGGGAAAAAAACAAGCAAGCCTACTGAGGGAATCCAGGGGACTGAGTGAAGTCGGAGGTGCTGAAAATGGCACAAAGGCAGCCAACATGAATGCCACAGAAAGAGATGGAGAAGATGGGCTGTCAGAAGCTGGAGCAGATGGACTGGCAAGGCTGAGACTGCTTTGGACACAGTGAGGCAGTGCTGCAGTGCCTGGCAAAGAGAAATGAAACATCCACCCAGAGAACTCCTCATTGTTCCTCTGCCAGCAAGGCACCGAACTCCAGCTTCAGAGGAATCAGAAGGGTCAGCAGGGCATCCGGCCATCCATGTGTGTCAAGCACATGCAGAGCAAGCATCACCTCACACAGGCAGTATTTGGTCTAGCAGCAAAATCCATCTGTAGTCCAATGGTTTAGGTTCAAACCATCTGTTCCTTTGCTGCAGATTGCAAAAGGTAAGCAAGCCCATTCAAGTGCTCATTGTAAATGCAGGTGTTCTCAATTTTAGCAAGAATAAATGTGTTCTTTAGTGAAGTTAACTAAACCTTTACCTAGAAGACAGCTCTCTTATCATGGAGCTTCTGTGATACTAAGCCACCACAAGTACTTAAAGAATAAACAAACAGTAAGAGAAAAATCCAACTTCTTTATGAGCTACAGCCTGAAGTTAGTTCTCTGATATGTAACAACAGACATGCTTGCATCAGAGCCTTCACCAACTGCAAAGGTTATGAAAGTGCAAACATACCTTCAAGATGGTTGGCATTCCAGGTTACTAGTCCCCTCTCTCTCATTGCTTGCAGAAAAATTATTCAGAGGTATTTTTAGCTTATGTGCATGCTCACTTCACTTTATTCTTGCAGGTCTGCATGATCAGCTAGAGTACAATTGATACTGATGCCTGGAAGGACCTGCAATCATTTAATCTGACTCCTGTTAAAACAAACCAGACTAGTTCCTACTTCAAATTGTATAGCTGTAGTTGAACTGGGCCATATCCCAAGAATATGTAAGCTCAGTTCTGCCTTTAGTTCTGATGTGGTAAGTCATGAGACTGCTCCAGTAGCAACATCAGCACAAAAAAAAAGGATATATCAGTAGGAGGGAGCAGCTCAAGGCATATACACTAAACCGCAGTTAAAAGGTGAATGAACACAACAGCATCACAACAGCATTGCATGCACACAGCTTTTTCACTGCATGCAAAAAGTACTGACGTTGCAGGAGCAACCTCCTCCTCTTCCCTTACAAAGACTACCAACCTTACTTCCTAGATGTCATCATTTAACCCCAGCCAGCAACTAAGCCCACACAGCCCACTCTCTCTCTCCCCCTCCGGTGGGTAGGGGGAGAGATACC